TGTTCCGTTCCGCTATCGCTTCCAAGCCACGAGGGATTTCCTTCCCGTCCCGATCCGTGAGTCACGTTAAAGAACGCACTCGAGAAATCGTATGGGTGTCGTCTCGCTTGGAGATCGGAACCTCGAGGACCCCCCACCCTCCATCGTCCCCTCCCCACCCTCCATCGTCCCCTCCCACCCTCCACCATCCGGCGAACGGACACGAGGGCAGGCCGGTGTCGGGCTCCGGTCGTCTCCATCCCGACGCGATCGCTTCGACCCGGCACCGCTGGGTACGAGACGACCGCAGACGCTCGGTCGAACGGTCGAACGGCCCTCGCGGCACAGCGGCGGACATCGTTCGGGGCGTTCGCGTCATCTGCGCCGTTTCGTTCGCGTGAAACTCCTGCAGACCGTTTTGCGCCGGAATTTTTCGACGCTGCGACCCGAAAGGTTTTTCCGCTCTCTCTCTCGGCGGTGCGGAGCGACCGCTAACGACGCGGAATCCCGACTCGGAAATTTCCTCGGAATCCATCTGGCGCGGTCGAATCGGTGAAACGACCGAAAGCTCCCCAGCGGATCGACGGGTATCGTCCCCCGAGAACGTTCCCATGCCTTTCGTCCCGAGTCCGTGATGGACTTTCGTTCTTCCGAGTCGAAAAATACCGGGTCTCGCACTCGCGCAGGGAATTTCCCACACGAAATGGCACGTTTCGCGCGGTGTCTCCGTGCAGATCACGAAATCGGTTATATAAATCGACTTCGGTGTCGCAAGCGTTAAGAAGTCGAGAAGAAGTGGGGCACGAGTTTTTGAGGACAGTACGATTTGAATTCGATCGACTTTGGAATGTAAATTCGGCCAGGGAACAAAACGATTCTTTTCGTTTGTTTCGTTCCGAGAACGAGCAGTCGCGAAAACGACATCGTCGACCTCGAGATCGTCGCTTCAAACTCTGCCTCCACCGACGACGGCTTCATTACCTCGAGCGAGCGCCTCGACGCGTAAACGTTTACTCGGCGATGAGTAAATATCGGAAACGCGGTCGGATCTCCGAACCGGCGACTCCGTGACGTCGCGTCGCGGGATGCGACCCTTCGTCTCGCAGACGGAAAGCCGATACGCACTCCGACCCGACTCGTGTAGTCACACGGTACGCAGATCTCGATCCGAGGACGTGCATGCACTTCTCGGCGCACGATCATCACGCACTCGCACGACAGAGATTAACCCTATTTCTCTTTGGGACACGGGGCCGTCTGCGGGGGCGATCTCCCACGCGAGGGACGAGGATGGAAGTCCTCGCAGGCGTTAACCCTCGACGAGCGATGGCCAAGTATGGCTTCACCCATTTCGACGGCCGGATGCCAGGACGGATGCCAGGACGGACGGCCTTCTCGGGAAATCGTCCGAACCGGCGATCGCGTTCGGCATCGTGTCGGGTTCGTCGTTTAGAGATCGTAGTCGGTTCGCGTGGCTTTCGACCGGGTTCGGACGCGACTCCGAGACGAAAATATAAATAAGAACTTCGTCTCGAAGCGTTCGATCGCCGAGCCGCTGCGAACGTGAACGCGAGAACTCGAGGCTGCGTGGCGTGCAGAGGGGGTCGAGAGGTCGCCCGCCTCGCGAGTGCCTCTCCGTCTCCGACCGGATCCGATCCCCTCCGCCTCCGGAAGGCCGAGCGTGTGAACGTCTCGTTTCGCTCCTTTCACCCATTCCCCTTTGCGACACGCCGCGGTCTTCGGGTTCGCGACAGGCGCCGCCGTTCGGTCGATTCCGTGTGGATTTACGACACCCGAGGCCTACGCATCGATTCGGTCGCGTCCGACGCATGCGGTTGGTTCGCCTCGGATTCGACACCGTTTCTAAATCGTAGACCGAATGATTCGTGCAAGTATGCAAAAAAAAAAACATTCGATCGTCGTTCCAAAACCTCTAAGCACCGACGTCATCGAGGTGGTCGTGGAAAAATTCTCGCCCTCGTCTCGTCGGCGATGCGAAGGCGGGGCCCGAATACCTCCGGGGGCCAAGAGCTTATAAGGCACTCGGCGAAACTAGCGGATCGGCGGGTGCGTGTGAGGTCCATTTCCCATGGAATACGAAAGGGAAGGTCGTGCCTCCAGTCCGGGGGACCCGCATTTGTCTCCCCTGACGTCCTAATTACCTCCCTCTCCGGCTCCCGGTCACGAACTCCCTCTCTCTTCGGGATCCTCCCGGAACCGACGGGGATTTTTCCTCCGCATCGCACACATCCGGCTCGGCGACGAGAAAAAAAAAAACTCTCGTCGTCCGCTGCGAGTTCCGTGAAAGCCAAGGCGAACCGGTCGGCGCTCGGGCGGGGCAACGTGCACGTAATCACAATTACCCAAGGTTTATTCAATTTCTTTTTTCTTCCCCTCGTGTCTTTCCTCGGGGGACGACTCCCATGTTACGACACGACGAAGGTAGGTTCTAACTCTCGAGGATGGATCGAGCGCAATTTCTTTCTTTTTTCGAAAGTGCTTCCTCCATTGTCCGGGCCCGACCGCGCTCTGTTAATCCTCTATAGGATCCAGCTTTCGCCGCGTATTGTGAATCGATCTCGGTGAAAGACTAAAAAGAAAAAAAAAAAGAGAAATAAAAAG